CAGCCGTGACAGCCTCCCCTGGCATCTCCATCCATGCCCGACCCATCCTCCACAGCAGGAGCCCCCATGGAGCACAGCAGCCGTGCAACACTGTGCGGCTCCAGCAAGCACCGGATTCATATTCCAAGCTACTGATTTTTTTAAAGCACCAAACCGGGGCGAACACGCGCCGAGGCAGCGGCAGGCGGGAGCTGAGGGGAGTGAACAACAGGCGCTGGGTCAAGTTCACTCCTGATTCCAGTGACTAAAAAAAGAGCCCAGACAAAGAGCAGGAACCGTAATGGCATCAAAACCCCTCCTGTCCTGTGTTTGTGTTCCTGCTCATTAGCCAGGGAGAGGCTGGGCTGGGGCTTCAAAAGAGCTTAAGGGACTCAGACGCCTGAATCCCATTCAACAGCAACAGGAATCCTGTGCTTAATTCCTGCGCCGTCTTTGAAGATCTCAGCGATAATTTGCACCTTCCGAGCAGGTTTAAGCTCAATGCCACTCACAAAAGGCTGGCAAGCACGGAGGGGGCTCAGGAAAGTCCCGTTTCCAGGATCACGAGCGAAAACCACGGGCATTTTCTGAACCCTGAAACGCCAGCCCTGCCTCAGCAGGGGAGAGGGGGAGCAGCCCTGGGGCCCACTGCCCTTCCTGAAGCAGAATCTGCCCCACAGCAATGCTGGAGAGCACTCAGGGGGACAGAGACCCCCACAGGGCTGGGACCAGCCTGGGGAAGCAGCATGGCATGGGGAAAACACCATTGCACACCCGACACACTGTTGGTTTAGCTGTCTAATAGAACATTGGGGTGGGAGCAGTCCCCCTATCACCCCGACTCCCCAACACCCACAGCACCAGCCACACTCCTCATATCTGTAACACCTTCTCTCTCTTTCTTTCCTTTTCCTTATTTATTTTTCAGCTAATGAACTGCTCTCCAGAGCTACTTTATTACTATTGATTCCAGGGGCAAAATCCAATTGATCTTGGTTAAAATGAACCACGTTTTTAACTCTGGTACCGACAGGCACTGGCTGGGCAGGAATCGCTCTGAGCTAAGGGCAGGACAGGCGTGTTGAACTGGTGTCCAGCAGCCAAAGATCCTGGGAATTAAACCAGAAACTACCTGGTGCGGTTCAAGGACCAGTGCCATGTAAAGGAGGGACTGCTGCAGGGGAAGAGGGGTCCAACAGCCAATGCCCACCCACCTCCAGGGACTCACCGTGTTGAAGTTGGGGAACAGGTTGAGCGGTGATGTCCCGTTGAGCCTGAAGGTCAGAAAGTGCTTGATGTCCAAGGGGGGGTGAAGGGGCCGTCCAGGGATGGGCAATGATGCTAAGAGGGGGCTGCTGTGTCCGGAGGGACCTGTGCAGGCAAAGGGAAAGAGCAGCATTAGCACTGGTGGTCCCTGCTCGCAGCGGGGAGACCAGGCACCTGAGACACGGCACGCGGGGACATCTGCTGTGCATGGCCCCTCCTCAGTGAAAGGTCGCAGCCCAGGGTGGCCCTGGGCACCCCTTTGTCTTTCAGGCTCAAAACCAGCAGCCCAGTTTGAAGCTGAATGCAGCTGCCTCCACATCAGAGCGTGGACATGCTCAGGAACTCGCTCTGAACCCTCCAAAAGGTGTCAAAACCTCCCCCAGGGAAGCAGCCCCTTCCTTGGGCTCCCCCACGACAGCACCATGGGGGTTCCTCACCGGGGCCAGTGAGGTTTTGGCTGCCAGCAGTGGAGGAAGGACCAGGGGCAGAGGCTGAGCTGCCCCCGCTCCCACGCTACAGCCGCCGCTCCCCGTCACCCGCAAACGAACCACGCGCTCCGGCGTGCGACTTAAAAATAGCCTGGGGTTATTAATAATGTTCTGTCTAAAAAGAAAACACCCGTGGGATGGAGGGAAGGAGGGAGGGAGGGAGGGAAGGAAGGCCAAGCAGAGGGATCTGACTCCAGCCTGCTCCCCATTCCAGGTTCTCAGTCAGGCTCATCACGGATGATGAGCACAGCAAAGCATCCTCTGAGTGGCAGAGAGGGTCCCTGCCCAGCTCTGAGAGGGAGGAGGGGGGAAAGCTAAAATAAAAAAAATTAATTAATCAAACAGAATAAATCAGAAACGGTTTCAGAACGCTGAGCCAGAAGAGCCCATTCACATCCCACACGGCTTCATGCCTCCTCCAGCCCACTCACAGCCCTGTTCCTCCACCTGCAGCAAGGACAAGGCCAACATCTCTTGTTTTTTTGATTTTTGCGTTCTTCTTCACCTCAAAGGCATTGTGGAGCCCCTGCCACAGCACAGCGTGACCCCATCCCACCACCCCAGCAGAGCAGAGAACAGCCCTTGTGGGAGGGTGTCGGGGGGATCTGCTGCTCCCACAGCAGGAACACTAACTGGGAGCCATCACCACCAGCACCTCTTTGTGAGAGCGCTGAGCCTGAGCCCTCCTCCAGCCCCCTACACCCTACACTGGTTGTGCAGGACAAGGACCCCAGGCTGGTGCTGCTCCTTACTCTGCTCTGCACCCACCCTGCGCCAATCCCAGCTGGTGCAGGAGCCGAGACATGAATCTGAAATTCAAAGTTCGAGAGATCCCCTGGATTTGAGCAGCGAGCGCTCGCCGCCGGCCCCACGGGCACCAACGACCTCTTTCTGGGCGAGCGCACGCGGCGGCTCTGCCACGGCGCCGGAGCCATCCCCGAGCCGGGCCTGACTCCGGGGAGGAATTACAGTTTGCTTCATCAGGCGTGCACTGATCGAGTTAATTCCAGAGTCGCCCAGAAGGGAAATCTGCGAAACTGCTTAAAAATAAATAAATAACATTACAGCAGCAGCAGCAGCAATGAGGAGGGAGCAGCAGCGAGCAGGACTGGGTGAGCAGTGCATAATTAACCTTCTGAGGCGTGAAACAGTGTTTCTGCATCAAATCATCTGAGACAGCCCAGCCGGCGCCGTGGGAGCTGCCTGAGGACCCCCCAGCACAAGCGGCCCCATGAGAGAGCAGCAGTGAAGGCATTTGGGGCTGGATCACGAGGGGTGCTGATCACCACTGTCAGTGCGGTTTGCGCTGACTGCACTGGCCTTAAAAACATAAAATATATGTACATGTAAATATATATATCTGGGAAGAACAAGAGGGCAGGCAATTGTCTCCTCCCCCAACATCAGTAACCACATAAAGGGGTTCACTCCCTGGGGAGTAGCCCCTGCACTGGGCAGGCACAGGGGGGATGCTGAGGGGACACAGAGTCCCAGGGACAGCCACCACCCGCAGCAGCTGCTGCCCACAACAGTACAGACAAGATACACCAACCTCTTTGGCACATCCTTGAGCTCAGATTTGTGGATTAAACATATTTCTGGGCTGGGATAAACCAGGTGGTTGGAGAGAGCCCAGAAATCCCAGTGAGACCCCTTGGAGGGTCAGGACCTTTCCCCCCAGCTTTGCCCCTGAAGCAGACAAGACCCTCGGGAGCAGGAAAAGGGCTGAAGCCACCCCAGTGCCATCAAAGCTGCCCAGAAAGCCACAGCACTCCACTGGGGCACCCACGTGATGCTCCTGGGGCACCTTCCCAAGGTTACAGGGCCATGGCACTGCCGGTCCTGCCTTACCTTTGCTGCAGGGCAGATTCCGGCAGCAGCTGAGGGCGGTATTTTTAGGTATTAATTAGACACTCAATTACAGGGATTTGCTTTGAGGAGAGTGGCAGGGCCCCAGGTCTGTATAGAATGACACGACCTTACCCAAGGTGACGAGCACGGCCAGTGGTGGGCTGGGCTGTGCTGGTGAATGGCATCCCCAGACGCTCAGTCTGCAGCTCCGGAGTGGGGTGTCCTCTGCCACAGCACCGGCTCTGTGTCTCCCCCTGTTTTGGCAGAGGAGCCCCCACGGCCACAACAAACGCTACTGCTTCAGCACCACAGGTCCTGCCAGGATGGGATGTGCTCCAGGCCCTGTGGAGCATTCCATGGGGCTGATGCAAGGAGGGGAGTGTGGGAACCCCGTGTTCCCAGCACAAATACCTGCTGCAGCCTGTGGAGGGGGTCTCTGTGTCCCCCCCAGTTCCACAGGTAGCATCCAGGTCTGACCAAGAGATGCCAAAGCCCACAACGTCACTGCTATGGTGCTGCACATCCTCTGCCTGGGGCTCAGCCAGAGCCATCAGATCCTGCACATCATCTGTCTGGAGCTCAGCCCGGTTCCTGTCGTGCAGACAAGTGGCTCTCAGAGGGGTCTCTTGGAATTTAAAGGTGTATTTCAGCCTTACGTTTAACCAAGCCCCCAAGACCATGCATGGACACAGTTCCCAGCCTGTTCCCCAACCCTTCACTCCACGCAGCCACTGAACACACACCTGCAGCAGGTTTTCTCCTGGTCCCTGCAAGGCAGAGCAGAGCAACTGTTGTGCTCTCACACCCCATGCATGTGAACCTCCCAGAGCTGCCTCTGAAGGCAGCAGGGCCAACGCTGCAGGTTCTCATACAAACACGAGTCTGCCAAGGACCCATCTCCGCAGACGCTGCTGCCTCAGAGAGCATCTGGTGCAGAGTCTGCCCAGGCCAGATGGAGACAGAGCTGTTTATTCACACAGAGGCAGCCTGGCTCCCTCCCGCTAGGGAGGTGTTCTCAGCAAATTTTGGTGGTGTCTCCAAATCCTTACACAGGGCTTTAAAACTTTGCCTCTGACCAAGCATGGGCTGAACTCACTCCAGCTCTTTCCAGGAGGCTTCCTGGGAGACACGTGTGCTCCTCAATGCCAAAGGCTGAGGGACTGAGAAGAGGAGAAACACCCAGTCACAACACTGGACCACAACAGCAGCACCAATGCAGCCCAGGCACCTCTGGGATCCAGACCAGTAACAAACAGATTGCAACACACTGGACTCCCGGAGCAACCAGACCATGGGGGAGCAGGTGGGGCAGCTTTTGACAACCCCAGCAGAGAACTCAGCCCTCAGGATTCAACTGAGGTGATGCTTCGGGCTGCTGCATTGGGTTTATTGCTGATTAGAATCAGTCAGATCTGAAGGAAACAGCCTTCCAAGTCAAAACCAGCAGAGCCCTGTCATGCTGGAACACACCACGCAGCACCCCAGCCCCACTCAGCCACCGCGCCAGCACCCCCAGACCCGAGGGCAGAGGTGCCCAAGCCCCTGCCCACCACGGGCACCAACAGCTCTGCTCACCTCAGGATAAAGAGAGTAACACTTCAGAGGAGGAATGCAAGCTGAACACCTCTGGATGGTCTCAAAAGCAGGTGTTGAAGGACTTTCTCTTGGGCAGCAGGTTGCCGAGAGCTCAGGGTGCAAAGGGAAAGCTGAGACGTGTGGACGTTTTGGAAAGACCAGAAATACACTACTGATTATTTCTGGACGCCGATCATAATTTATTCTGTCCTTGCAAAAAAAGTCCCTTTATATATCTTTAAACTTTAAGCACTAGGAAAATTAAGTTAGACCTTTTTAATACATATATTTATATATATATATTTATATATATACACACATACACATATGTACACAATGACGCATTTAAAGTTATATTTCCTTGGCCATTACAATATCGTTCCCTAAATCTCTTGCTCTTGAAATGATCATGACTTGATGCCACTGCTAAAAATACTCTGTGCTGTGCACAAGGAACACCAACACGACACCGCCAGGCATGTCAGGGTCGACTCCAGGCTGGGAGGATGTTCTGCCTTTTCTGCATTCGCTCTCGAGGCTCCAGAACAACAGAAATCTATTATTTTTGCAGAGTATTAAGCAGAAGCTGCTGGGTATCTTTGTGCAAAGGCAACATGACATTTGAGCTCAAGAGAAGATTTGCCTTCCTATCCCTAAAACAAAATAATGACAAACCCTTGGAGAAAAATCATTGCAATTTGGGACCTTAGGTGGCCCCAGGCTTTTGAATTCTGGGCAATTCAGCCAGATGCTTGGTGGATGAGGGAGGGGTGGTCATAGGACCAGCGTGGCTTTGTGAAGGATCCTGTTTCCTCTTCCCAGCACGGAGCAGGTCACCATCCACCGCGGCCGCCCAGCCCCACAGTGACCAGCGACGTGGAAAGGCAGCATTGAGCTGGTGCTGGGCACTGCCTGCAGGCCCCGGCTCCCGCCCGAGGGCTCAGCCCTCACTGGCCACACTCACTTCACCTGCGTCATGATGAACCCAGACTCCCTCATGCTTTCGTAGTACTCGATGGCCAACGCAAAGTCAAACTCACTGATGGCCGGCCCGTCGATGGCGATCTTCATGAGGTCAGAGAGCCCCTCGTCCTTCGTCCGGCGCGACCGGCTGCGCTTCAGCAGCTCCCGGCCCCGGCTGATCTTCTCGGCGAGGACCGAGCCCAAGGGCAAGGCCAGGGCGATGGCCGCCAGGACAGCGAAGTCTGGGAAGAGCTCGTGCATCTCAGAGCTGCTGTAGACCAGCTTGACACAGAGGTCCTTGAAGGAGAGCTGGCTGAGGCTGAAGACGATGCGCTTGAAGAGGGGAAAGTCGCTCAGGGCCCTCTCACTCACCACCACCCGCGAGTACGCCTGCAGCAGGAAATTCAGCTCGCTGACTCCATAGCTGCCAATGTCCTCCAGAGACTGGGGATAGCACTTGGGGTTGAAAATGGCTGAGAAGGAGCTGATGGCCTCCAGAACGCTGGTGGGGAACCTGTCTAGCAGGTTGCCCCGCACACTCTCCAGGTAGGTCTCCTTCAAGTGCTCAAAGTGCTTCAGGTGCACCTGAGAGCAGTTGGCCAGCTCGATACCCTTGTAGTAGAGGCGGCTCTCACCCTCCTGGCCGTCCCGCGGGTGCTCGTTCATCTCGCTGAGGAACTCCTGGAGGTTCTGGCCGCTGGTGCTCTGCTGGGCCTGCAGCGTGGCGGCCGTGGCCGAGACGATGGGCTTCAGGAGGGAAAGGTCAAAGTCCTCGATCTGGAAGAAGCGACTGAGCTTCTGGAAGATGGGGAGGACGTCCAGGAGGATCTTGGTGAAGGCCACAAACTGGAACTTCTTGAGCTCTTCGCAGAGGCCACGGGCCACAGGCGAGTGCTCTGCCTCGCTCTCCAGCAGCAGCACCAGTGTGGGCCACGAGGAGTCAATGGCTTCCACAGCTGGGAAGATAGAAGTCCAGTGGATGGCTTTGGGGCTCCCAAGGTCTATCTCACAAAGGTCCAGGACGCTCCGCAGCTCCCGCAGGCCATCGCTTCCCCCCTGGAAGCTGGAGTAGAGCCTGTACACAGCATCCACAGTGGTCTCGTACTTCTGGAGGTACTCAGTGGTGCCGATGGTCTCAGCCGGCAGCAGGGAGCTGCCGTGGGACAGGCAGTGCATCTCGGTGAGGAGCGGGCAGAGCGAGGTTAGCGCGGTCCCCACCCCGTTCAGCCGCTCGGCCACCAGCGAGGTGCTGTCGGCACTGAGCCAGGCGAGCTTCATGGTGGGGATGCCGAAGGAGCGCATCACCTCACCCACCTTGCCCGCCACGGTGGAGGCCTCCCCGGCGGGCAGCTCGAAGCTGCCCAAGAAGGCAGTGGAGGTCTGCCCGTTGCAGGGGGAGACAGTCGTGGTGAACATGGCGAGGCTGCGGTGCTCCAGGACATCCACTGTCTCATCCACCACCAGCCCCACAAACGGCGAGGCTTTGATCCTGTGCCTGTCCTCGTTGTGCAGGACTTTGGCGATGGCTGCCTGAGCCAGTTGAAGGAGGGGCACAGGGAGGGAGAGAGAAACACAAATGAGGTTCAGAGACAGCAGGAGACGCGCAGCCCCCAGCACACAGCAAGCGGCCGGGCTCCCACCCGTGGGCTCCTGCAGCAGCACAAGGGCCCAAGCCAGGGAAAAGCCCTTATGCAAGCTGCACACACAGGCTGGAAATCACTTTCCTTTTCCTTATAATAAACTGCCTCCTCCCATCCCTGTCTGGCAGCCTGAGCACTGCGTGAAGCTGCTGAGAGCTTGGAAGACCCTGCCCTGAGCTGGGGGTCAGAGCCCCACAAGCTACAGCAGGACCCAACACCAGCAGCAGCACCAAGACACAAGCCCCCAGCACCCCATTCCTGAGCCGCTGCCTGTGCCAGCCACAAGGCAGGACACCGGGAACCTGCCTGCTCAGTTCAACTCCAGCAGTTCCATCAGTGCTTCACTGGCCCAGCATGGGCAGGAGCAACAGCAAAACTCTGCAGCGTCTTTTCCTTCTTTGCTCATTTTCCCCCATTTCAGGCACACACCCCAGCTTGGAGGGGAAACTTCCTGTGTGCGTGTGTGAGTGCTGTAAGGATCACCACAGGCTGGGAAACCTAATTAGTGGGTTTAGTCTATCTGCAGCAAAATAAGGCTCTGCAGATAGCTGAAGAGCCTGGCAAATGGCCAAGACTCACTAAAAATTTAATTTGATTTTAGCAGGCACGAAGCGTTTGTAAAACTCAGAAAATCCTTTCTAAACTCTCTGGCTACTTGATCTTCCTGAGCACTCAGTTTAGGGCAAAAGAGGAAAAACCCACAGTGCCCGTGTGCTAATTGAACTCCGGAGCTTTCATCCTGCAAGCAGCATGGCAGGCTCAGGGAGCTCCCGCATAGCCGGTGGGCACAGACACCCTGCTGGCTCTGCAGAAGGCAGTGGCTGCACAGCACTGTCCAGCCCTGCTGGCCGTCACACAGGCGCAGACCCCCAGCCCCGCACACCCACCTGCATCTCCCTGACGCTGCCGGGGTGGTAGTACTCGCTGTGCTCCGAGGCCAGCAGCGCCTGGCACAGGTTGAACTTCTGGAAGTTGAGCAGGGAGGAGCACTTCTCATCCGGGATCTCCTCCTTGGCCATCCAGTAGACGGTGGTGAGGACAGCCACCTTCGCCGGGTTCACCTCCACCTTGATGACCGAGCGCAGTTCGGGGTGGCCGTGGACCCGGGTCTCGAAGGCCAGCTGCTCGCGGTTCACGGCCAGCGCCTGGCGGTGCGCGCCGGAGGTGACGTGCCGCAGCAGTGCGTGGCGCTGGAAGTTGTCCGTGCCCACGGTAAAGGCGTTCTCCGCTTTACCGTGCTTGTTCTTCACCAGCGCCTGCCGACACTCTATGCAAAACATGAGTTTCCTCTCATAGTCAAACTCCAGCCAGGTAAATTCTTCCTTCCAGTGCTCATTGAAATAGCGTTTACACTTTTTATTGGAATTGGAAGTTTCCCCAGCCGGCTTTTTCCCTGGAGGCACCATACTGCTGTGGCTGGGAAATCAAACACTACGGTTGAACCGCGCCGTGCCTTGAGGAGCAGCCTGCACATTTAATTTAGTAAGAAGGTCTATTACCACTCTCCTGGTCCGACTGGAGATGAAAGAGACACAAGGGAAAGGGATTAGGGCCCTGCAAACCTCAGCCAGGGCTCAGCGAAGGGCTGTGGTGGCATGGCGATGGTGGTGTGGTGACAGCGGTGGTGACAGTGGTGCTCAGGGCAGGCCAGGCTATGCGACAGCCCCAGCACCATGCGGGGGCATCCCACTGAGTGCCGGCATCACCGGCAGCTCTCGGTGTCACTGGTGGGACTGGTGCACGCACACACAGTCCCACTGCCACAGGGACACCCACACACTTCCCTCCGGAGCAGCCCTTCCCACTGCACTGATGTTGGGAAGGTGAGGAAGGCTCAGAGCTGGATGAAACACCCAAACAGGAACATTCAGCCCCAGAGGAGCAGCACCTGCCAGCAGTGGTGAGTGCCAGGGCTCTGGAGCAGCACAAGGGTGACTGGAAGACAGCTCAGACACAAGTGCCTGTGAGCACACGTGTGTGCTCTCAGTCCTGCCTGGCTTGTCTCTATCCCGGGGAATTGCTGAAGCCGTGGCAGGTCCCATGGCAGCGGGGCTGTGCTCTGCACAGTCAGGGCCAGCCCAGCATCCCTCCCAGGGGGTGACACACTCAACCTGCTCCAGCTCAGGCTCCCGAATATCTACTGAGCTCCAGGTTGCAAAGCAGTTACCCACGTAACCAAACCAGGAGCTGCAGGGTTTAAGCACTCACTTGACCCCTTACCCACGTTTCAGCCCCACTCAGTCCAATTCTCACATTCCTCCATGAACAGGATTGAAAATCCAAACTGAGCCTTGATAAAGGTGATGGGAAGAGGAAGAGCAAGAACGTAGCACATGGTGAGGAAGGGACAGAACCAAAATGCAGAGGAAAATGGAAAGAACATGGACATTTAGCAGCAGCAAAGCCGGGAAATACCATCAGTCCATGTGACTTGCTGAGAAACCCAAGAGGAACTTGGGTTTTTTTCTGAAGAACAAATGTCCCAAACCGAAGCCATTACCATAGCCCTTGGGGAGCAGGGGGAACCCTCACAATTAGGCATTAGAGTAACACCCCAAACTCCCAGTGCTGCGAGTGCCCACTCCCATAGATGCTGGGCTTCCCATGGGGTGCTCTGGGCAATGCTGGCAGGTGGTTCTGGAGTGACCAGCACCGCAGCTGCCTGGCACAGCAACCCCATCCCAGTGCCAGCAGGGCACCCATCTCCTCCAGCTGCAATGGGCCAGTGCACGGCCCCAGGGAGTGGATTCCTCTGCTCTCTCCCTGTCATTGACCCCATTCACTCCCACCCCATCCAGCACAGCCCACCCTCCAGCACTCGCTCCAGCAAAAACTGCTGCCTTGGAAAGAAAAAAAAAAAGGCAGCAATTAGTGTGTGGGGTGCATGGGATCAGGGGGAACTTGGGATGGAGCAGAGCACCGCAGCACCCCTTCCCGCATGACCCGTGGTGCTCCAGAACCAGTCCTGGCTCCAGCCCAGAACCCCTCACTGCTGCTGCCCACGGGGAAGAGCAGCACATCCTGGGCGACTCGGTGGCAGCAGCTCGAGATGGGGGTGACACTCCAGTCCCCACACCAGCCTGCTTCTCCCCCGGTCGGGAAGTTTGGGCAGGATCAGGATTCACTTGTGAGAGGACAAGCTGCTGCCCCGAGCCCCGTCCCCGGTGCATCAGCCCCGGCTGCGGGTGAGCGGGGCAGCCCCAGCGCCCAGCCCAGCCCAGCGTGCCCACCCCGCTCACCCACCCCTACATATACGTACCATGGAAAGGCCGCCATAAGCTTTGGGGCGTTGGGGCGGCGGGGGGAGGGGGGCTTGCAAACTTCCCAGATTTTGTTTTTTAAATAGTAAAAAAAAAAAAAAAAATCTACTTAAAAAAAAAAACAACACCTACTTAAAAAAAAAACCAAACCAAACCCAAACCCAGCCAAGCAGCAACGCCAAGCCAAAAAAGAAAACGAAACGAAGCGAGGTGCTCAGGAGGCAGCAGCAGCAGCCCGCACTCCGCATCCCGCACCCCCGAGCGCGGCGGCTGCGGGAACAAAGCCTGCGGCGGGCGCCGGCTCACGGGAGCACGGGAGCAGCCATCTTGCTGCGAGGACCGCCGGGCTCGCGGATGCTCCCGGCAGCCCACGGCGGCAGTGGCCACTAGCGGTGGCCAGCACCGGGAAGGCCGCGTGGCCGCGGGGACAGCGGACGCAGCAGCCGCGCCGCGGGCTCTGGCCCCCCCTGGGGATGGGGAGCGCACGGAGCTGCGCCCGGTGCCCGCCGCGGGCTCACCTGCCGGCACGCCTTTTTGCCCAAGGTGCGAGGAGAGGTGGGCGCTGAGCGCCCAGGAACTCCCCCAGGGATCCCCACATTTGCGTCCAGACAGGAGCGGTGTCCCCGGGTTTGGGCAGAGCCGGGATGCGAGTGCCCCGCGCACGGGCAGAGCGACCCCCAGGCACGGAGATTCGGCAGGATGCAGGTCCAACAGCGCAACGTGTTCCTGTTTACCCGTGCTCCTGGTCCATAGCTGCAGGGCTGGGTCTGAAACCCACCCCCTCATCTCGGGGCTCCCCAGTGAGCACAGGGGCTCCTCTCATCCCCCAAAAACTTTCTTTTAGAACCAAATGCAGGTGAGGTTTAGAGCCCCTCAGCTTCTTCCAGAAACAGGGTTTTGTGCCACCTTTGCTTTCCCCCAAACGATCCCAAAGGACACCAGTGTCCTGCAGGACCCCTGACAGGAACTCCACTCCTTGTTCCCCAGCACAGACCCTGTGCCTGGGAGCTGAAGGGGATGCTCCCACCCCGACTCCCCCTGCAGAGTCAGGGTATGAGGAGGGATGTGGCCCACCGGAATGTGCCTGGATTAGGGGCTGCATTGTACCTGGCTCCGGCTGGCTCCACAGCAGGGGGGTCTGGCAGCCTCCGGTGAATTCCTCTCTTCAGGCTCCTCTACATATCCTCGGGCAAGAGGCTCTTCCTGCTCTGGGGACATTCCTGCCTGGCCACCTTAGCCCAGGGTTAATGAGAGCAGGAGCTAGTGAAACCAAAGCTGGCTCTCAGGGTGAAAACATGCCCGATTTATTCTTGTGCTAATGCCTCGAGAAAAGAGGATTGAGCCTTTTTAATGAGTTTTTAGGCAGGAGCCTACTGCATCCCCTGGTTCCCAGCATTCAGAGCGGGACTGCAAAGGTCAGCAGTCCCAAGTGGCTGGGGCCAATCCCGCTTCCCATGGGGACCCCATCAAGCTCCTGCACTGGGATCCACCAGCAGGACCGGTGGATTCCAGTCGGGAACACCCTCTGCCTGCTCTGTGCCAGCAGCACGGCTGAACTCACTGATCCCTTCTGCCCAGCATGCCCATTTCTGCTGGAAGCCTCCAGCTTTAACATGGGTTTTGGGCAGTGTTTGCAGGATGTCCCTGACCCTGCCGAGCACCCTGCCCTCGCATCCCTGCCAGATATCAGATGTCCTTCCTGAAGGAACTGAAGTGCAGATACTCCTGTTTACCCCCGTGCAGCAGCAGCCGCCTTGGCCCGAGCGAATCATTGCTATTTTTCCCTGCTGTGCTGTGCCTGGGAGCTGGGCAGGCAGGTGCCCCATTGCACCAGCACATCCATCATCTGCACAACACGAGGGCGGCCATGGCCATGAGCCACAGTTTCCATCTGAGCCCCGTTTTCCATTGGAGTCCCACCCATGTGGTGGCTGGAGCAGACCCCAAGCACATTACTCCCACTGGGATGCTCCGGGCCAGTCCCTGACACTCCTGCCAGCACTCCAGCCCCACATCCATGGCTGGGTTTCCCAAGGGTTTCTCATTACATCTGTAAGGAGCTGAACAGAAGAGACCAAATGCTGCCATATTACCCCAAAAGATTTTAAATCCCCGAGTCCAAAGATATTTATGAGATTTTGTTTCCATTCCTGCTCTAAGCCAGTCAGGCTCTGGGGGATGACGCACACTCTTCCCGCAGGGAAGCAGAGGTTCTGGTGTTCCTGAAGCTGCTGACCCCAGGGAGCCCCATCCCCACACAGCCCCCGGTTCTCCTGCCCACCCACCCCGCGGTGCCTGGCTCCACCAGCCCCCATCCCCAGCCATCACAGAGGATGGGGCAGCACCCTGCAGGACCCTGCTCCCCCTCTGCACCCAAAACCCTGGCTGTGACAGCCCCCAAAATGAACTGGGAGGATGCACGGGAGGGAGGACTCACAGGAGCTGCCCGGCCGCATCCCTCGCACCCGAAGGTGGTGACAGCTCAGTTCAATCTCTGCCGTGTGTGGCGGAGGGGGGAGGCAGAGAGGAGCCGCTGTCTCGTGTGGGAGAGAGCACCCGGCACCGTGTCAGCTCAGCCAAATTAAAAATACTCCTGCAGCCCCCGGGCTGGTGCCTGGACGGGCGGATCTGACAAGGACAGCTCCTGTGGGATCTGCAGAGACTGGAGGGACACGGGAAAGAGAAGGTGCTCCCACGCAGGGAAGGGGATGGGGCACATGCTGGAGGACCCCAGTATTTCCCTGCTGTGTCCCAGCTCTCCCACACAGCTCGGGGTGCTTGGGGGGGGCTGTTCCTCCTCTGACGGGGGGGCCCTTCCAGCACTGCTGTGGGCACAGAGGGCCTGGCTCCAGCACACTCGGGTCCTTGTGGAGGAGCCTGGGTGGGTAGTGGGCCATGGGTGCTGCTGGAGAAGAAGCCCCCTGAGCTGCTGACATGGGAACCCCCCACATCTCCCAGCCACCGTCAGCTTGCAGGATGCTGCCTCGTGCCTCCTTCCCCTGCACAGCCTTGTCACAACCTTCAGCTGCGTGACTGCAGCTGGCAGGGAACAAGCCTTGAAATAAACTCGAATGACATCCCTGCAAACTCTGGACATGGCCACAACAGGATTACTGGGCTGGGGAGGGAGGGGGGGTCATGCTCATCTCTCCCCGCAGGCGACCCCATCTCTGGGCTGAGGCTCCTCAGAGCAGCAGCTGAGAAGGGCAAAGCCCTTTTGTCGAGGAGCAGAAGCAAGGACAGGGTGATCTCCCTCTCTGGGCTCCCTCCAGTCCATGCACCTGGTCCTTGGGAGGCAACTCGACTGCATCCTGCTCCCTGAGAGCCACAGGGAGAATCACCCCACACCACCAAGGTCAAAAACAGCTGCTGAGGAGCAAAACTGGATGCGGGTCTTGCTCTATCCAGCCTCTTTTCCTTCCCCTGTCCACAAACATCAAGTCCAATGCCTTTGGATTTTAATTCCCAGCTTTCCCTATCTGCCAGGTAATGATCTGAAAAATCAGCATTTAGTGATGCCTCCCCCAGCAGAGACTTCAACCACCTCTGCCACAGGTACCAAGGGGCTTGGGAGGGATCTGGGCTCATCCTGACCCAAGGGCAGTGAAAAGGAGGTGGCAAACACTGAACCCTGATCTGGCATCCACTGCCCACAGCCCTGCCCATCCCTCCCTGGGTAGTTTGGGAGAGGTCAGGGTCTTCTCAAGAGACTGAGAGCTCAGGGGGGCACCAGAGCCACGGATCAGTTTAGTCTTTATTCTGGGCACTGTATAAATCGTGCAAATTACAGCCAAGTCCAATTCATTACAGCCAAGGAGCGGCTGACAGAAATGAAAAGGGAGAAAAGCTCCTCAGATTGATGCTTTCTCACCATTCCAGTGAAATAACCAATTTGGAACAAATTAGGGGCTCCCGTCTCCACCAGCCTTTTGAATTGCCTCCAAGCCAACGCACATTTTTCACAGAGCAGCATTTCTTCCATTAGCAGTGAAAATTAATGATTTCTATTATTGAAGCACCTGAAGGCAGGTACCTCCCTCACACAGCCGGGGCTGGGCTGGCACCGAGCCCCCGGAGAGCTGAGAAGAGCCTCGGGGAGACAGACAGGTTCAGAGAGGATAAGGGGCATGGCCAGGGCCACCCAGCAGGTCGGTGGCAGAGCCAGGCTCCAGGCCAGTGGCCATCCCCTCTCAGTGGTGCCATCCCAGACGTGCTGGAGCAATGCACACAGACCACCACAGCGACGCCCAAACCACTGCACGTGACTGTGCCACAGCTGCCCCCAGCAACCCCCCAAGCAGTGAAACCACGTGGGCTCCAGCCAGTCCCAGCTTTGCTCAGGAAGGGAGAAAAGGGGAATTGCCCCATTTTCAGGGGAGCCCGCCAACTCACACTACAGGGGAGCAAGTCCTGAGGGGCCAAGAGGGCTTTTAAACCCCAATCCACTCACATATTCCCCCTCTTAAGTTTCATAGCCCTTTGCCTCCCCCCACCTGCTCTCTCCTCCCAGCGTTATTCCCTGAGCACAGCTCCACTGAGGCTGCGCCGACAGGCTGAAGTGTGTAAGCCCCCACCACGGCTGCCCCACAGCCAGGCTGGTCATGATCAGGGTTTGGAAGATGACACACATCCGTCATTATTTTTTAATTATATTTTTATTTCCTACCTCTAGTATTTCATTGTAATTTCCGCCACTCCTACCCAGGCCACGCTAATATAATCACTCCGGCGGAGAGTGGGAGCAGCCAGCCCACTTGTTCCAACATCCCGCTCAGGAAAGGCAAAAAAAAAGCAATTTGCTAAATCCCCAGCCCCTGCAGTCATTACAAGCTCGAGGACATCAGGTGGGTGCTGGAACAGACCATCAAAGCATCAGTGCTGGCAGCACCTGCCGGGAGCATCAGCACCGAGAAACTTCAAAAAAAAGTCCATGTTTGCTCAAAATACTTGTTAGCAATTCATTATTGCAGGTGAGGCATAATTAAAAATGGGCTAAAGAGATTTGTGAATTATACCCTCGGCTTGAT